CCCCCCCCCACATCTCCCTCAACGCCTATAGAGGTATTTTAATTTGCTCCCTTCATATCCACTCTAGGGGCAGCACAAATAAAATAAAAATGATAACTTCGTTAGGTTGTTTTTACGTAATTTATTTAAACTCAATTTGCAAGTAAAATATCAGCTGTTGTTAAGATTTTATAATAGAAAAAAGAGTTAGTGGATAACACAATGCTAACACGGCCAAACCAAGGAATTTCATGCGTACTCGAAAATTCGGAATTGGTGGAGTTATATTGATCAGGCAGCTAACATATGCGGCCGTGAGTGTATAGATCTCTTAACCCAACAACACTTACTACCCACTAAATGGTCTTAAGAAATGCACATTCATTAGGCAAACTTTTAAATTCAATTTAACATTTAACTAAACTAGATTTACAATCAAAATCGAAGCATTGCATCTTATTCATACGTATTGGTCAAATTCTAATAATTAACGGTAGTCGAAATTCGTTGCACTTTTACTAAGTGCCAATATCGAACATTGTTCAGTCAAGCCTCCATTTAATATGGAGAAATCTCGATTTTGTCCATGTAATTGGGTAATATCTTGATAATAATACCATAAATTAAATTATAGGAATATCTCCACTTGTTCACTGTGCAGAAAGAAAACTCGTTCTCCTTTGGAGCTTGCTATCAACTCTAAATATTGGCGATTTTGCCATTTAAGAGACTGTAAATACCCTCTTCTCTTTAGGCAACAGGGGGTGTGCGATAGACTTACCTCCATGTGGTGCATCCTGGGCAACGTATTCTCATACGGCAAAAAAGTCTATTAACTGGCAGTTGACTTCTGACTTCAAACTACCCTCACCCCATTGTATGTCATATTCGACTACTTCCACGGTATTCAACTCACCTTTTTCCACTTTTGTGTCTCTCTTTTACATCTTTGAAACTCTCTTCTGTTCCCCCTCTCCCTCTCGACTTGTTTCACTTTGATGTTCCTCCTCTTCTGTGAAACTTGAAGTCAACTAAAGGGCTAATGATAACTTTCACAACGCCTGTCATTTGATATAAATAAATAAACCTTTAGGCAACAGGGGTGTGCGATAGACTTACCTCCCCGTGGTGCACCCTGGGCAACGTATACTCATACGGCAAAAAAGTCTATTAACCGGCAGTTGACTTATGGCTTCTAACTACCACGACCCCCCTGGTTGTCATATTCGACCCCTTCCACAGTATTCACCTTACCTTTTTCTCTACCTTTGTGTCTGTCTGTCTCTCTTACATCTGTGAATCGCTCTTCTATTCCCCACCCCTCGACTTTCTGCTACTTTGATGAACCTTCCCTCTGTGAAGCCGAAGTCAGCTAAATGGCTAATGATATCTATCAAAACGCCTGCCATTTGAAATAAATAAATAAAATCTTTAGGCAACAGTCATAGGATATATTGAAATTACGCCGCATTTGCCTTATTGGATATAATTTACTGTGCGTTTTGTAAACAACCAGTTAAAATGTGAGCAACAAATATTATAAGTCAAAATGAAAACTTTATGCATGAGATAGTGGGTAACAACTTTTTCCAGCAAGGACCGAGGACATTTAATTTGACTTAAAAACGAGAAACACATAGTTCTCATCCTATTAACGAGTAAAATAAACAGGTTTGGTTGATCATTTAGCTCGCTGAATGAGTATCAATAAACATCGAACTCCCCTCTACCGGCATGGTGATAGTAAAATAGTTTCAATTAAAAGCAATAAGGTGCTTTAATTAATAAGTGAGTTAATTTTTCGACTCACTATGACGCTCGGAACCTACTTACACAAATAGATTGATGGATAAAGGTTATTAAAAATATATGCTCAGGACCTGTTATGATAGTAGGAAAACATAGCTAAATCGAGATGACACCAAAAATTGTCAAATTAAATCGACGTGTCAAAAGGTCCTGAGCATTTGAAAATTCAAACGCCGAATCACGAAAACTGCGCTTACGAATATTTTGCCATTGTCATTCTACTACCACCATCTCCCCCTACTTCTCATTTTTCAATTTCTCATTTGTCAATTTTTATTTGATAAACAAGTTTAATTACACTACATATTTGCCAAAAGATGTAAATCATCATGAAAGTTTTATGAAGTATGAAAGTGTGATATTTTGTAAAAAAGTTCTCTGATGAGGACTCTATGCTAAAATTTGAAACAAAAAATGACATCTACAAAGATACGAAATAAATGACTGTACACATAGAGTTAGTAAAGTTAATGGTGGGGGTGCTGAGTTGGGATGGGAGAGGGGGTCGGGACAAAGCTTAATAACTTCCTTAATCTTTCCACTTCTCTTCCTCTTCAAGCTTAGCCTCTGGATGAAATTGATTTTTTAAACCATCCAACAGGTTGTTACTCGCCTAAAGAAGGAGAATAGACAAAATCAGATATAGAAGAGAATTAGTTTTCCGTATAGCCACAACGACCAACCTGTAAAGTCATAACGACTGGGGCAAGAGGAACAGCAGGAATTTGCCGAAGAACATCCCCGATAGATCCGACGGATCCTTTATTGGGATCTGGAACCAGTATAGGATGGCTGAGATCTGTTGCCAGGTTCACAACCCTCTGCCTCACCGCTTCTGCGGCTCGCGACATTCCTTCCCTTACATTCTGAGGTTCACGAACACTCGTTGATGATGATGGTGGTGATGATTCCAAGCTATGAGGTCTGGTGTTACTATTAAAGGAGGATCGAGATGGATGAATTTGACTCCGATGTCGAGTTCGCACAGAGGGACCGGGACTTAGAATGTCGAACACCGTCTTGAGAAAATGAAAAAAAAATGAAATTGGAAGTATAGCAAACAATATGCGCAAATTGATTGATAATGAAATTAAAACAGTGACGGTCTGACAGCATCAAAGTCATTCCATAATCTAATGTTTCACTGCTCACCTTCAATCGCCGTTCTCCCGGGTCTTTAAACGTTGGGGAGAAACATACCAGAACGATTTTTAATTTCAAATGATTCTTTCCGCTTTATTTGCTAAATATCGCTCAACAGAAGGTGATTATGGTTTCAGTCTACTTGATTCAATTAGAACAAAGGTTTTTCCTCCTTTGAAATAGTTGAACATCATTATTGGTACTTTTAAATACCCTTTAGCATTTTCCTAGTACATTTGTTAAAAAGCGTCATTTAATCTTATTCATATCATTCTCCATCTTACTCCAAGTTGTGATGACTTAACATATACTTTCCATATTCACTAGCCTTTTATAACTTCAACTTGAGATAAACTCATCTACAACTAGGTTCATTTCAAAATTGCGATAAAGGCGACATTTAACCAGCAACCTCTGAGTTACAACGAGAGGTTTAGAACAATAACCTTACCTCAACAACATATTGGGTAATATGGAGACCCTGGGAAGAAAGACCAATAAGAGGCCAGACAGCGTTATCTGAAAGAGCTCGAACACCCCTTCGCAGTCCACGAACAACATGATCCGCTGATTCTCTTGAAATAAGCTTCGCTTGTCGACCGCTTCCTTGACGCATTCTGCGACCGGTGAGAGAAGATTCAATGGGTTCACGAAAAGCATTTACAACATGTACCCCGAAGTCCCTTATTGCAGCCGCTAGGTAATACAACAGTAAATTCAAAACATCTCCTCAACTACCAGGATTCAAGAGAAATATGAATGCACTTACTGATATTGGAAATTTCATGCATGGGACCAAAGTTTTTGACTACCATTTGAGGGAGATTTTCTCTCAAAATTGTCATCCAGTCACCAGTAACGGCCTCCATAAGACTGGACACACCACGAAAACCCCTTTGATAGACTTTTTTCGGTAGGACTAACTCTGCATTTTTCAGCTGAAGACACATAGCCAACAAGCCAACAAAAGCACCCTGAAAGCAAAACAGTAGTAGTAGTGTAATAGCTCTGCTACTTATTTCCAATAGATACACGGGAATTTTGAGCCAACCTGTGACATGTCTAACCGATGACCATGATAATCGAAGTGAATGGGTAAACTTGGAGAGAGGGTAAACTTCCTTATAAAAATGCGTTGATCATCATCCTCAACGAATTCTTCACTCGACAATTCGGAGTCGAACGCATTCAGATCGGTAAAAGGAGAAGGCAAAAGGGGAACGTATTGTTCCATTCTCTTAAAGCTGATTTCGGACAACTTGTTGAAACATTCATGACATCCGCGGAGGAAGTTGAGCATGACCTGGTCTAGAACAACATTCAGAGGTTGTATAGATGCTTTTGCTTCAGCTTCGAAATCAAGCATATGCACTGAGGGCCAGAGAATGACACGGAAATGAAGAGCTTCAACACATTTTCCATTTCTAAAGACCCGAGCAGACTTCGGAACATAGAGCAAGTGACGTGCTCTCGAGTCCTTCAATTCGTCAGCGATTTTGAGGTGTCCCACATGAAGAATATACCTTGTTACCACGGGAGATTGGCTATGACTACGCTTTAACTCTTTAAATGAACTGTAAGGCCCAACTGGCATATTATCGGGAGGTTCAAACGTAGAATTGCGAAAGTAAATATCCGACAATTTTAGCGCAACTCCCTCGTTGACTCGGTGGGTAATGAGGGGCTGTTTGAGGTGGTTCAAGCACTCTCTCAGTTCAGCATCTAAAATTTAGTCCAGAGCAAAGCGCAATTAACCAGTTAATCAAGGTCTCAACTAAAATTTCTGCAAATAAACGTAACTTAAGAAGTTATGCAAAACCTTTAAAACTCAATAAAATTTAATAAATCATAAGAAAGCGATCGAATGCCTGAATAAAGTGGGCTCAGCGAGTTTTCGACATTCGGTAATAATACGCTAGGGTTCCCACCTTTTCGACAATTAAACACAATAAGGCGCACAAAGGTAGCATGGTCAACTCTCTTAATCGAATGGCTGATTATCTTAGAAAACTAAAAATTTCAATCTGCAGAACACACTTTCGTAGCAAAGAACCCTAATATAGAATACTATATTTATTAAATAATAGTTAGAAGTGGCATTTAATGAAATCTAGGTGGGTCAATAATTTTCATCCTCATGCCGGTAGGACAGAAAGAAATCAAAGTGGCAGGTCTCAGCGCATTGAATGTCGAGAACACAATATCATTAATTACAGAGTAAAATATATGGCTTGTGAGAACATTGGCTGTTCAAGGCTTCCGCAATTCACAGGCAGTGGATACGATTAATGCTAGTCTTCTTCAGATGTTTCCATCGAAAAGGGAAACATTTTTTTCGCGGTTGCATGGACAATAACAGCAGAAAAGTATAAATGAGGCAACCAAATGAACTCGGAATTTAAAAGATAGAAAGTCGCATAAAATCCCAACCGAAATTCTCTACATTCATTTTAAGCCGCCTAACACAGCATGTGTACCCCGTCACAGATCAGCGCATTGAGCATCTACTAAAATTACCCAATATTGTAAATTCACAAATAGAGCTCTGTAAAAACGTATCTCTATGTTTACCAAGGTTATTTTTTGCAGTTGTTTTTCAAACAATATTAAAAAATATTAAATACAACCATGAAAATGACATGGCTTAATTTCTTCAAGCAAATCTGAATTAAAAAAACCAAAAAGGTAGAAAACTCTAAATTACGTGATAGAAAGCGTTTATGGGGTAAATTTATAGTCATCCTACTTACTAGCCGAAAGAATCGGAAAATCAAGGCCAACACAGATCCGCACTACAATCGATGAATCATAGAGGGTGAAAGCAAAGCTTGTTTCACTGCCCAGTGGATCCATAAAGAGACCTTTTCGACTCGAACTTTCCTCCAGAACCTTCTGATCAACAGAGTAAAAATTAGGGTCAAAGTCAACAGGCGGTGTATAGACCATGACCCTGGTTCCATCTTCAAGTACTTTCAGAGGTTTTCGTTCAGAACTGTCAGGATTTCTTTCAACATGCATAAAACCTCCATGTTTTTCAGTCATTTTAGCATCTGCCTCTCGAGGTGAGCAATCTAGTGCATTGACATCCCTCATTGCGGAAGAAAGCTGGTCAGCTATTTCACCAGCATGGCTATGGTCCCTCAAAAGAGGCATTGAACAAGCTCTCTTAGGATTTCTGGGTTTGGGCTTATCGCTGAAATTATCCACAAGGAGTTGCAAAGCCACTAGACTGTCAATACAGCAATCTATTTGTAAGTTATCAAGTGTCATGCGTATGTCCACACAGGGCGCCTGTAATAAAAAATGACATATCAAAATACTGAATTGAAAATAAGTAGCAGATATTTTTTGAAATGATACCTCTCCAAACGATTCCTTACTGACGAAACAAACTTGAAGAGAATTCACTTTCATAACTTGTACGCAATCTTTGGGAAGCTTATCACCAAACAGCCTGCTAACTTCTTGCGATTCTTTCAGAAGAGATTGGAATCGGGCTTGATCAAGAGTCATCGGTGAAGTTTTAGTCTACGAGAATTTAAACAAGAAGAAACGTAGGTGGGTATATACACTGAACAAATAATAGCTGGAAAATATGTCAAAATACTAGATTTTTCAGTAAATTACTTCATAATGCAATTAAATCCCTTCACTCCTACTCATATAAATTATGCAACTTGATCATTTTAATTAAATCGATGGGGACAGGTCACAAGTGTAATCAGTGAACCAATTCTGTCAACATCACTATAACAATAGGCTCAGCACGACTGCAGTTATTTTGAGAGAATTATAGAAAATAAATCGCCTAAAAGTGCAGGTGTTTAAGAACAATCGCTGAATCTCTGTGCCAAATTTAAATTAAGAGAACCCTTAATATGATTAACAATAAGAAATAAACGTGTATGATAAAAATGTGACAAAGTAAACATTACCTCATTATTCAAACTTGGTGGAATAAGCAAGAGTTTTGTTTTTTCCTGAGTTCCAAGATACATAGTGAGGGGTCTAGTCTTTGTAATCAGAGTCGCTTTATTTGTAAAAATTATGGGTCTAAGGGTGTCCAACCCTGGACTCAGTTTCAACATTTCACTCTTCTGTTCCATCGATTTGAATGCACAGACCGGTGGTGCTTGAATCGCACACGACTCTAAATATGCATAAGTCTGAACAACATACTCAGGACTTATTAACGAAGGATAATCCACCGATAGGTAATCTGTCTGTAGTTGTGGAAGTCTGTTGAACCAAGAGTGGATGAATGGAAGATAACAAGCTAATCCTCTCTTAAGCAAGCATCCAATCGTTAAATATTCTGTGGTTCCCGGGTCAAGTGGCTGTGATGGACCATATATTGGAACAGATTGTTTTTCAATAACTAGGCTGAACATAGGTCCATCTGATTGAGCAGGAAATTTCATCGGAAGAAGAAGGGAAAAATCGATATCCTTCCTAGTGACTTCACCAGTCTCTGATTGTTGATTGAAAGACTCTGAAATGGAAATATGTACTACATAGGCGGATGAAAAAACGGAGAACAAATTAGCAACTTTGTGTTTATACCTGGTACATTTAACACCAAATCGTCAGCTGTAAGTGTTAAGTAGAGTAGATCTTGCAGGTTTTGGGGATTGATCTCTGTTGTCATGAGGAAGGATTTAGCGGAAAGAACTGCGGTCGAAGAAAAGGCGCCAGTGGGATTTTGACAAATCGCCAGGGGGATTCGAAAAATAACAGTTTTCACAGAGAGGGAAACGAATTTAGAGTTTGGAACGGTTGGCTCCTGTCCATCGAAAGGATCTTTAGTTAGATAGAAAAGTGAGTTAAATCAAATCAAACAGAATAAGAAGGGACATGCTGTCTACTAGTATACCAGGAGTAGGAGAGAAAGACGAACTGCGAACCAGGTCGGGATTCTCTTTAACTGATTCAATGAAGAACCAGAAACGATGATCTGAGAGGTTAAAGGGAGCTTTAATACCACCACCGACTTGAAGAGGAGATCGGATTTTCATATTCTTAGGAAGAAGACTTTTCCACAGAGCGAGATCCGTGAGAAGACTACGTCAGGAATAGAAAGAAAATAGAGATAAGAGTAAGATTTGGATGGGACACACTGAGGTTAAATGAAGAAACTTACCGTGAGAGAATAAGGTGGATAACTCGCTCATCAGGAGGATGGAAATCAACTGCCGAAATATCAGCTTCAATACCGAGATAAGCGCTTTTTCTGGCTTCGGATCGATAGTTTTTCAGATGCTCAAAGTCTCCAGGAGCTAGCGGGTCCTAAATCATAGGTAAGACGATGCGCATCAATAGTTTAATGTGACTAAACGTCAGTGCTTACACTCTACTATTGCGTCGCGTATAAGCGAAGTATGCAGGCTTCGCCTATCGGTTAATGGATTAGCGACTATCGGATTTCTACACTCGAGTCTGAGGGAGGGGTGGGGGGTGGGGGGGAGGAAGACCACCGTTGATACTACTATTGCTGCAATTAGGCATAAACGAACAATCCATAAATTATCAGGTATTCAATTCTACATACACCTATTTATTTATGAAAACTGATTGGCAGGCCTTCAAACTTCTTCCTGAGATCTGAACAGTTGTAGTTTCAGAATGCAGACTTAACAAAGTGAAGCTGCGTGAGTCCTCCATACTTTCTTGGCCATTTTGAGACCTCAGTTGACAAGTAGCAATAGAACAAAAGAGTAGCCTTTGTTCTATTGAAGCAGTTCTAACTAGGGCTAAAGTCACATCAGAGGAGACACTACCTTTAGAGAACTGATAATCAAGGAAATTGAGATTAATTATTTTATTTGGCAGAATTGTGCGTTTATAACCTTAATTCGGACTAAATAAAAATTTTTACAGTTGTGAAATGCCAATATATCGGCCTGGCAATAGCTGTCAATATATTTCCAAGCAAATTATTCTAAAAGGAAGTGGAGCCAAATTAATTAAGGGATGAAAGGGAAATTAATGGATTCGGATATTTTTTGACAAGTGTGGCAGAATTTTAATTATATTTATATATATATATGTAATATGTACTGATTTTAAATATAAATCTGAGAAACACTTTAGGTATTCAACAAAATTTGCGCAGTTACTTGCACACCTGCAATTTTTTCAAGATGAAACGGAACATATCTTTCAGAATTGCTTGAAAAATTGTCATTTACTTGCAAAAGAGCTACCAAAGTTTTCAGTATCGCAACACAGTACCAGAATTCGTTTATTCGAAAGCACCACAGAAATCTGTTCCTTGGATATCGAAAAATAAGGGCATATTGAAGGCAGAACTCGAAAATTTGGTTCACACTGGAAGAACCACAACAAACCCACACCCCTAAATGCCATGAGGCAAGAATATAGTTGCAAAAAATAATTTTTAGCACCAATGGTTGCAAATTTCACTCTTCAATTCCTAAGAAAAAATATGTAGAAAAAGCTTTCGATTTCATTGTCTCTGAAACGAATTTAAAGTAATTGATTCTTAGCCAAAGTAATTGCTATATTTAATAACCATTAATTAAAATAGCGTTATTATCTGGATAAGTAATTAAGCGTTATGGGAAAATGACCCTTTATTGCAAAATTGGGAAGTTATGAAAGCAAACTCAGTTTTGCGAGTCTTATTCTAGCAACTACTACCACGAACAGCCAAAGAATGTCCGCAAATATTTTGAGAGGATGGTAATTTAGGTAAAAATTAATAACTTGTATAATCGATTTTTATTACCATCAAACTTTGAGTTGATGTGATTTAAATGATGACTTAACCATTTAATAGCGATGCTGCTCACTGGTCTAACTATTTAGCTAAAGAATATATTTAGCAAATCTACTACCTGAATAGCTATAACGAATGGTCTGAAAGTGGTTCATCACCAGCAATTGCAGCTCTCTCCAACCTGGGTAACCTATTTATCCTAACTATGCGCTATTTGCAGAGAGAGAGAGAGAGAGAGAGCTGGAGGGAATGAAATTAATTCCAGTAATTGGCCGATCGAAATTTCATTGCATTCGCTCTCACCCACGCACAAGCGACTTCTCACAACACTCACACACACTCTACCAAAGTGATGAGAGATTTTATTGCACTGCTGAATAAATTTTAAAAAAAAGTTTATGCAACAGCCGATCAGTGTTTCCAACTGCCAACTGGGAATGTTCAAAATAGTAACGTGGGGCCTAAAAACAGTTAAAATATAAGTTGGAAACAAGACGGAAAATGCCCATCAGATTAATCAAATAGTGAGGAAAAGTTTATTTTAATTAAGAACCGACAATCACTGTCTTGAAAGAAAGGAAACATTTAAGATATACACGGAGTTTTAATAATAAGGACGAATAGAATGCCGCATAGGATAGGTTTATTAATTTGGAAGGAAGCAGTAAATACGAAAGCTAACAGAGCTAATAGGCAACAAACCATTCTTACAGGACAGTTTCTCTTCAAACCACCCCATGCCATTTCTAGAGTTGGCCAAATTACCTAACATAGATGATTTAATTAAAGTTAAAGTTAAAAAGATTAAAGAGTGGCTAGATTAAATGCCTAAATGCCTATATATATATATATATATGTGAATTCATATGAAATCAGACATCATGAAAGAGATATGAATGTGTGATTTCGAGATACTAACCCCACTTGCAAAAGTCTTTCGAAAAGACAGTTGGCAGGGAAAATGGAAGTAATTATACTATGCCAAGCTCTTGGGTGCATCAAATTACGTCAATTTAGCGATAAACAGCAACAGCAGACTCCTTGCCACTTACTTTGATGGGAGGACAGAGTTGATGATACATTGACTGCAAATGGTGGCACAATTTAAGTGTCATTAAGTAGCAAAAAAGTTAAGCAGGAAAGTTGACAATTAGAATTTCTTAAAATATTGAGTACTTTCTACTACCGCCTTCAAGTTCATCTTATTTCCAGAATCTTCTAGCTGTCTGCTCACTCGATTTCTACTTTATCTACTTTAGAATTAAAATTACAGAACGACAGAACACTTTTGTGAACTTTGATGAGAAAATTACAATATGAACTTTCATTTCATTCAGATAACTCCTGGTTCATGAGGTGAGATAGGCGAAAACATAACAAAATGTTCTACTTGAACATTGATGACGATCAATCTAACTGTAGACCATTATTTGGGTGGTTTTAAATTTAAGAGAATCTTGTAACAGGTAATAAAGGCTGAAAATGTATAGATCCTTTGAGTTAAGGTGTTAACAATAAATGAGAAGAATAACAGGAGTAAGAAAGATCTTTAAAAGTTCAAAACAAAGACGATTAAGAGAGTGATACAATTGGAAAAAGCGGAGTACTATTTGGTTTGAGCAAGAAACCATCACAATGGGACTTTTAACGAATAGAGCGTAGCTCAATGGACAGCACGCAAGAAGTTCCATTCTGACTGCTCAGGGGGTATACTAGAATATCTCCTTGACGCCCCATCCAATTAATTTACTGATAAATTTGGTTTATACGCCATCGAAGACAACACAGTAAAAATACGAAAAAGGAAAAAATTACCTTTTTTCCACTTACCCTGTCACAAAACTCTCGCATGTTTGCATCGACGACACCGGTAGCTCTTGTAAAGGGACATCGAGCTCCCCCTCGTGGAGTGACACGTTGGAAAAGCTCTTCTGCAACGGAGTCAAGTGAGGAAGAACTATTTTCTTCAGGTGAGCACTGATCAGACGCTGTCTCTGTCGTTATATGCAAGGTCACCCTGAAAAGTGACACAAAGAGTTTAAAAATCCAATCCCCATTTTCGAGCATACCAATTAACAATAGAATCTCCGAAAACAGAAAGATGGACTTTAAATAATAAACCATATAAATAACACATTCTGAGCCATCGCATCCTCGTCAAGCCTTTTTTGAGATTAGGCCACCTTACAGTAGTAATTAAGGACTTAATGGGAAAGCAAAAATTTTTCGGCGTACCTGATCGACATATTAGATTATCAACTTCCAACTTTTTACGCTCGTGTTGGGATACGTAATATCGCTAATATCAGATAATCATCACGTACGTGACAAAAATTTGTGAAAGAACCTTTATTTCCTCAATAAATGAACCACTGTTTGAGATACAAGTATTTTCCTTTAATTTTTAGGAGTCAAAATAAGTAAAGGCAGAAGTAAACTACAGTTGACACTTAAGAATATCGCCTAGATTAACACCGGCAATGACATGGTTTTAAGCATTTCTTATATAGAAATGACTTCGAGCATAACTAATGCAGTGGAAACACGTGATAAACAGATAATGGGATAAAACCGATCAGCAATTTAAATTATCAATTATGCTGGCAAATGTAGGAGGTGATAAAGGCGGCTAGTAACCTGGCTTTCACGTACGGATTGATCCGTCAGAGTACAAAGCTGATACTTGACGTATACTCAACTACAACTTCATGCAGCTTAATGCGGATGTGCTCATTATTGCCCCAGGTCACTCTTGCACACATTAGTGCTTATTCGGCCACTTTTCAACAGTTCGAAATCGCAAAGACTTTCATGTCTTTAATTTCATCTTTCTGCATAAGGTGGCCACTAATAAATCAAACAACACGCTTTCTACCAATATTCAACTCAATTCAATAAGCGTTTGTGTAAATTGTAACCGAGAGAGAGAGAGAGGGAAAGAACTAAAATTAGGTAAAAATTGAATCAAGAGGAATGCGAAAAAACATACCTCGAGGGTTCCTTGTCTGATGCATCACCGAGGGTAAGAAACTCCACACCATCATACGCTCCAATACCACCAAAAGACACTATTTTAGGAGAGAGAAGAAAGAAATAAAGTCAAGATTATTAAAATGTCATCTAGCATAATTCACTGAATCAAGGCTTCATTACAAAGTACAACAGAAGATTCTGATTTTAAGGACTAGTTTGCCAATTGTACAGTGAAAAACTCAAACATCACAAAAGATGGAATTATATTGAAATCGAGGGGTGTGCGATAGACTTACCTCCACGTGGTGCACCCTGGGCAACGTATACTCATACGGCAAAAAAGTCTTTTAACTGGCAGTTGACTTCTGACTTCAAACTACCACACCCCCCCCCACTGTATGACATATTCGACCAATTCCACAGTACTACATCACATTTTTTTCTAAATTTTCAACCTTCGTCTTTGAAACACTCTTCAATTTCCCTCCTCCCGACTTTCTTTCACTTTGATGTTCCTTCAACTCTGTGAAGCCTAAAGTCAACTGAAGGGCAAATGTTGACCATCAAAACGCCTGCCATTTGATATAAATAAGTTCTACATACTCACTGCAAAAATTAGACAGGG